AGTTCAACTAAAATAATCGGAATACATTGTCATTGGATGATATGCCGATGCCTTCGAGTTCATCGGTAAGTTTTCACAACCACTGACCATGCTTATAAGCATGCGAAAACTTGAGGCGAGTAAACATGAGATGCCTATAAAGTAGCCGGAGTTTTATCGTACAAATTGTTAGAGATTAGCTTGTGAGCCGATTTCCGTGCATGGAGCACGTTGGGAGTTAATTCTGAAGCGAACGTTTGTATGTACAAAAATATGAAGTGTGATTCCCGGGCAGCCTCCCATTCAAGTAATTAACATTTTTAGGGCTGCGTACCGTGATACTCTGTCAGGCGAGAAATAAAGGATAGGGTTAGGGGGGAGGGCATTTCGGAAGATCTCCGCCTCAACAACATGATCAAGACAACCAAAACGACACACCGCGTTAATCAGAAACTTTAGAGTTAGACAAGATCGGGAGCCGGAACACGTTGCAAATTCTGGTAAAGCTTGAAAATATGGGTTTAACAGTTTTGGTCGAAGGCAAGTGAGGCAAAAGCGGAGGGTTTAATATACGAAATAATCAGAGATTGCACCTAGGCATATGAGTATCACAGACTGTACGGAGGAGTCAGATTATAGCCAATCAGACAATGTGCACAGAGGGGGCGAGGGGCGAAGATGAGAGGTCTATCGTGACACCACCGTCGAAGCGATCATCCACTTCAGATTGATGAGCAGCATCTTCAGGCATTTTGTCCAGTTCTCTTCGCTGCTTCCGGTGAGTCTGTTACAATAGAAAAATAACCGACACTAATGAAAAAGGAACAATTTGGACAGAAGAGCAAATAGCAACCGGGACAGGCAGACGCACCTGATTGAATAAATCTGGTTATCCAAATCACGCATTCGACCCTTGTCCAGGATTTTATAAGGCAGTTCAAACTTCGGAGGCCGCTCAACTATCTCCCGCAGTTGATTCACGCACTCCAGAAACATTGTCATGGCGGTGTCAAATCTAATAAAACCGAATAAAAAGTCATATTTGTAGCTGATAGGACGGTAGAAACGAAAGAAAACATGATTTACGTACAGAGAAGAAGTGGAAGCCCAAGCCAAACGCATGGAATTATGAAAAAACTAGTACATTAGTGCAACAAATCTAGATTAAAAAGCTGTGAGAAACATGAGAAAAAAGGCCCCGTTAGATTGCTGCTTTTCATTTTAGCTAATAACCCGTGATTATTGGATACGTTAAGATCCTTGTGAAGAAAGAAGGTTGATTTGACAAACGTCTTCTGCGTTCGCGTTGTAGAAACCCCGATCCGTAGTGATGAGATACAGTACTTGAAAATCACCATAATTAACGAACCTATCTAATCGCGGCACGCATTCTTGTGTCATTGAGAGTCTCTTAAATCTCCATAGACCATTCTGAAGAATAACAATGGGCCCGATGCTAACTGCATGAAACGACAAAGAAAATGAGCGCAAGCATTAAAAACAGACACTAAAAGATTGGCAATGGGCACTCTTGAGATGGGGCTTCGAAATCGCCCTGGCGACAGTTTTTCTCCTAAAAACCACAAATGACATTCCATTTTGAATTATG